TTTTCTCCTTGTTCGAATGACTTCCAGTATTGGAACCTGACTGGGGGAAAATGCTTCAAGCAATGGAGTAAGGCATGAGAAGAGGTTCAACTCTCCTTACATATTCCACTTTAAACGCACAACCCCCTTTCTCCATTTTCTTTACCATCAGTGGGAGGTTGCATCTACTTACTGAGGAAAATATCCCCTAGATTTGCATTAGTATTTGCCTTTATATGAAAATAAAGACAGCCAAGGGATCTCAGAAATCTGACCCTCACTGATCCCTCATGAAGGCACCTCTCAGATCCTTCCTCATCACAGCTTTCTCACACATTTTGCCTGCCTTGATCCTTTGTTCAGAGATGGATTTGCCACTATCCCCTTTGCTCTGCAGCAGCTTGCCTGCCTGCCAGCAAGTAAAAACAAACATTCATATCTCCCTCTCTCTCCCCCTTCTGCTGGTGTGCCACCTTGTGTGTGTGGAACTTTTGTGTCCATTCACTCCCCATTCTGCTGTACCCACCTTCAGAGACATAATCAAAACGTTTGCCTCTAACAGGCCAGTAGATACACTGGCAGAGCACAGAACAGAAAGCACAGGATCCACTTGTACAGATACAAAAAGCCCTTCTGAAGCTACTGGAAAGATGCAGTGGTTGGTGTCATGACCCCCTCCAACCAGCCCAGTGACTCTGACTCTGAGACCTCAGAGGAAGAGCCTGAGGAACCAAGGGATGCCAGCCTCCAGGCAAGAAGTGGGGAACCCCTGGAATTACAGCTTGTCTCTGAACTACAGAGATCAGTTCCCCTGAAGAAAATGGATGCTTTGGAGGATAGATTCTATGGCACTGTACCCCAATGAAATCCCTGTTATCCCTAAACTACATCCCCAAATCTCCAGTAATTTCCCAATCTGGATCTGGCAACTTTACCCTCCATATCCCCCAGGGGGATCAAGGGGGTCCAGATATGACAGAGGCCACCCTGTTGGAATCTGCAAGTAAAACTTTGCTACTGGCCCCTGAAATAGCCACCATGCCTCCATTGCACAAGCCATAGCCTGGGCCCAAAGCCCTCTGGGAAATGTCTCCTCTCTGCAGGAATGGCAGTGACAGAAAGCCTAGGCCTAAGTGGCCAAAAGGAGGTGAAGCGACTGGCTAGCAAGCATGCAACCCCATCCCAGAGCCAGGCAGTGAGGTTGATACTTATTTTCAGGATCCTGGCCAGATAGTACAGTTACGTTTGATTGTAAAACACCCTGTTATTCAGATGACCCACAGATTTACACACACACACTCTCAGTGTGTTGCTGTCCCTTCACACAACTGTGAAAAGCAGACAGTTGCAATGGGGATTTCCAGAGACTACCAACTGTCATAATCTTTTTAGTGGTTGGATGGAAAATATTAAGCATTGGACTTCCGGTTTATGGCGACACACAGGCAGACGCATCTCCCAGACGTCCTGGGGATGCAATCTGCACACCAGTGTGTAGGAGGGGGTGCGATGGGTCACGACCCCCCGGAGCCTTGGTAAAAGGCTCCTAGCCAGGGGGCTTTTGAGGGGCGACCTCTTCACTAGTGCGATGCCGGAGAATTGAGGTGCTCCTCCGCCCCGAAGGTCCTGCCACTGAGTGTTCGTATGGAATTAGTGTGGCTGACCGGGACAAGCGTTGGAGATCAGGCGAGAAAAACCGATGCTGAGCGTGGTCGGATGGCTGGCAACGAACTGTGAGTCGGGTTGAAGCGAGCATGAAGATTTAAAAAGAAAGCTGCCCCCCCTTAATGAGTGACAAAAAGCGAGCGGGGGAGGGGTCCCTCCCAAACGCACAAACGAAAACACGGAAATAAGAGGGGGGAGCGGAAAAATAAGCATCTAAATCGGTTTTAAGAGACTTACCAGAGCGCAGATAAGCGTTTGGGCGAATATCAGAGACTTTAGCAACTTTTAGAAAAGTAAATAATCCGAAAAGATGGCGGGGAAGAAACCAGATAAAGACAAACTGTTGAAAGCGAAACTAGTGGGCAGTCCTCGAGCGGAAGAGACCACTGAGCTTTCTAAAATGTTAGCCGATTCCTTGCGCCCTCTGCTGGATGAGATGACTAATAATAATAATATCTGACAATTGTCAACAATTGGTCAGAGTTTGGCTTCACAGCAGCTACAACTGACTAAATCTTTAAATGCAATGGAACAAATGGCAGAGAAGGTGAAGGAAATGGACGCCAATACTAAAAAAGTCAAGAAAAACGTGCAAAAGCTGGAAATGAAACAAGCGACAGAAGAGTCACAACTTTTACAGCTGCAAATGGAGAAAGCAAATTTGGTCATACGGTTCCAAGGGGTCCTGGAATCTAAAGGAGAGAATCTGAAGCAACTGTTGAGCGATGCAATTGCCCCAATGACAGATTTGACAGCGGAATATCTTTACAGCGAGATGGAGGTGGTCTACAGGTCCTATTCCTTATACATCAAGAAAAAATAATCTGCCTGGGCAAATAGTAGTCAGATTCTCGAAGAGACATGTGAGAGATTCTATTTTGAAAGCAACTACGGGAACACCCTTGAAAATCGGGGACAATAATATCAGGATTTTAAAAGACATTCCATTTGAAATAAGACAGAAGAGAAAGAAATATAGAGACTTAATCCTTTTCTTACAAACAAATGGCATCAGTTATAGATGGTTAATTCCAGAAGACGTCATTGTCAAGTTCCACGATAAAAAAGAAAAGATTGACTCTGTTCCTAAAGCACGTGAGTTTCTGAGAACACAGCTGAGGGAACCAGCGGAGGACAAGAAGGAAGAAGAAGAAAGCAAATCGGATGGCGAGTTAGGCTCGGTGTCTTCTGATGAGGACTCTCTCTCTGGAAAGGGGGCGGCAGCCCCCAAAAGTTCATATAAATTGAGGAAGGCGGAAGGACTCTGAATTGTGCCTGAAAACTTAATAATAACTTTGGGATGCTCTGAGGGTTTCATTTAACAGATAAATGGAAGGTTAAAAATAAATAACTTGGCATAACCGACTATGTTAAAGGAAGTACTTCTTCACCCAAAGAGGGATTAACACATGGAATTTACTGCCACAGGAGGTGGTGGCGGCTACAAGCATGGACGGCTTCAAAAGAGAATTAGATAAGCATATGGAGCAGAGGTCCATCAGTGGCTATTAGCCACAAGGTATAGATAGGGGCTCTGGGGCAAGTGATGTTCTGTCTTCTTGGTGCTTGGGGGGGGGTCCACAGTGGGAGGGCTTCTAATGTCCTGGCCCCACTGGTGGAGCTCCTGATGGCACTGGTATTTCTGGCCACTGTGTGATACAGAGTGTTGGACTGGATGGGCCTTTGGCCTGATCCAACATTGGCGTCTCTTATGTTCTTATGTTCAATGTATTACTAGCATTTTAGATTAACATTGAGACAAGCTGATATATTGATCTCCCACTCTTGGGGTTTTAGTTATTAGTGGGGTTCTTTTCTTTCTCCTTAGATGTAGTTTCCCTTCCCATATTTTCAGTTATAGTTTGTAGTTTTGTGAAAAAACCAATAAAAAACTCCCTTCAGGGGGATTAAAAAAGAAAGAAAGAAAGAAAATATTAGGAAGAGATTGGAGTCATCTTGTCATTAAGAGGGAATGAGTACACCCTTTCTTTAGTATCTTAGAGACCAGCAAGTTGGGGGGGGGGGGAGAAATAAGCTTTCAAGAGTCAAAGCTCCATTTGTTAGAGGTTTGACACTTGAAATCTTATACCCTGAAAATCTTGTTGGTTTCTAAGGTGCTACTGGCCTCAGTTCTAGCTGTTCTACTGCAGACCAACGCAAGTACCCTCAGAAAACATTTTCTTTAGCTTATTTCCATGTGCAGAATCTTAATAACTGGCCACCCCTCCCCCAGCTTGACTACAGTTTGCTCATGGTACATAGGTTGTGTGGAAGCCCAGGCAAGCATTCAATATATCATTGTTCAAACATTTTTTAAAGTTATTGTGGCAAGCACATGGTTATAATTTGCAATTAGAACCAGAAAGAAGCTCCAAGACATACAGTTAGCTGGTTATGATATAAATAAACTCCTTAATTATATGTTTTAAAATAGGTATATCAAGAACAGCCATCACTGATCATTTCTATTAACCATGTTGACATTATTCAGTTTCACAAGTTATGCTATTAAATTAATCCTCCAAGCAATCCTGATAGGTAAGTCCTATTTCCATATAGCAATATAGAACTAAATGAAAGTTGCTTGTCCAAGACAACTCGGCTGGTTGGGATCTTTATCTAGGTCTCCAAAGCTGACTGCTTTACAAGTTGGGTTACACTAGTTTCTGTGTTTTCTTCCTAGCTTAAAAGCAGGTCACTGAATCATTCAGCTGTACTGCATGGGAAACATCTGTAGGAAATGTCCTCAATATATTCTGAGCAAGTCAGCACCTGATAACCAATATCCTGATTACTACAGTTCCCCTCTATACTTAGCACAGAAGATATCGGCAGGAAACATCCCTATATCCCAGGAATCTGAGAAATGGTTACTGCACTGAACTGCACTGGCTTAATTCCTGTAAAACCTTCCTGTGTCAAAGATAGTCAACCACATAGTCATGATGGCCTTGTGAATCCTAGGGCTGTTTACAGACAGCCTGTATTCCCAGCTGTTTGTCCTGGGATGGATACCTGTCCATTCCTGGCTCAGGAAACCAAAGGCAAAACTACACAAGGCTTGGGCGTGGAGCGTACACAGCTACAGTAATTCAACCTAGAGCACTACTATCTGAAGCTGACTTGTCAAAAAAGTTGGTTGTCATTGGTTTGTACAGTTGGTCATCTGGGATAATAACCTTTTCCCTGTCTCTAACCTCTGGACATGAATCAGCTGAAAAGATATCGATGCCCATGATTACATGCTAGCACATGACCACGTAAGAATAGAGGGGTTGCCATCTTTCATGGGCAGAAGACGTATGCACATGGACCAGTTGATGACTCCAAGGATTAATATAGGCATCAGGCACTCCACTCATAATATATCTCCTACTTTCTCATTCATGGCTTCACCATTCACACACAGTAAGAAGGTCCTACAGCATGATTTGATTTTGTATTTACCTCTTTAGGTTATTATTTAAGGTGTATAGCAAAATGCTTGCTCACCTGATAATGGTCTTTGCCGTTTCAGTGTTGTCCCAAACTATTTTTTTCGAGGGCTACCATGGGATAAGATAGTAAACAAAGAGTGTAGATGCTTGGAATTCTTTGTTTCAGCATAGAAACTGTGGTACATAAATTACATTGTACAAATGGGACTATTGTGACATGAACACAATGATCAATTTGAATCACCAATTGCACTCATCTGAAAGTATGGCAGTTGCTCCTGGGGGCTGAATATGAAGGTATAGGAAAATCCAAGGACAATATGCAGATAATGTGTGTATACTACTGTAGCTGTAATTGGACAACAACTGTAGCCTTAATTTGGAGAAAAGTTACATGCACAGATGTCTCTCATAAGTATATTCCCTATGGTAAGATCCTTCCTTCCTTCCTTCCTTCCTTCCTTCCTTCCTTTCTTTCTTTCTTTCTTTCTTTCTTTCTGTCTGTCTGTCTGTCTGTCTGTCACAACATGACCACGATTCCATAACCCTTTGGTTATCATATAGAGTTTGCCAAATAATAGGCTGGATCCAGTGATGTGTGAGCTGTGAGTAGAATCACAAACTCACTTAGTGAAGTTCCACTTGCACAAGTGAAAGCATTAGATACACTACAGTATAAACCAGGAAGAACCAGCTAATAATTACTTGCACAATGTGTTGTGCAACTGGAATTCTAATCAGGATACAAGAAGTTTGATGTAGCACAAGCTGCCAGCATGGTCTTTTTAGTATGCTTCTGCTAGCTCAAGGGCTGTAACACGTGGAAAATCATCCACTGGATCCAACCCAATGGCTGTTCCTTGTAAGAAACACGTGAGAGTCTTGTCTGCATAAGACCAACAGGTTTGCTTTGGATGGTTGTAAAGTTTACATAATGTTATACATGATTATCTCTGCAGTCTACTGGATGGTAATACATCATTCATATATATCATTGCATTGTTATTTTTTTACCTGACATACAGAGAGGTCCAAAAAGATCTTTATCACATGTTTCACATGCAACTCCAGCAAATCCTTTCTGCCAAAGAAAAATGCCATTTAAACATAAGAACGATAATGGAGATAACAGCTGAAACCAAGAACAGCTTCCAGTGTCAAGAAATGACATTGTTGCAACCAAGGACTGACTAGCCACAAAATAGATCTAGGCAACTGTTCTAATTCTCCATTCCCCAATTATAAAATAGTTAAATGGGCCATTGGTTTCCTTTGTGAAAAATGAAAGAAACAAAACACCTAATTCATGCTAGCTAACCTTAATGCACTCTGGAAATGTTCATTTCTCACAAATGGGTTTTAATATGTATGCAGGTACACTGAGATGGGTACAGATAAGCATAACGTCTAGAATGGGAATGCATTTGAATAACATCAGACATGTGAGAAAAGGAAACCATGGTGATCAGCATTTTTTTAATAACATGGATGTAAGGTGAATAATATAATGTGTTGCTGGACAGCAGAAGAAGTGCCAGTCAGAAAGAAACTGCTTGCAGTGGAATGGATTTCAAGACTTGGCTCCACGAATCCTCAAGATGGCTTAGCTCACCATCACACAAAACTATGATTTAGTTCAACTAGGGATAGTGTGATCATCCCAGGATAGGCTATTCTGCTATCAATGGTTAGTTGAGGATCATAAACAAAGATAATTTTCCCCCTGTTTTCTTGTTCTCTTTATTTGCACATATCCTTGAAGAACAACAGGCATTTCAAATGGCCATTTGGAGGCTGTATGGCTACCATCTTGAGATGAGCCACGGTGTGGGGTAGAGCTGCTTGCTTCTCTCCCTTCGGCTATGCTTTTTTGCTCAGATCATGTCTCCAGTGCCTCTCTATCTCCCAAGGCCACATGGAGAAAGCCACCAATCCAGAAGCCTGCCTGCCTACATTTGTTTATTTTGAACAGGAAAGTAATTTAAGAGCAAAGGATTGGGTAACCCTCTCCCTCCAGAAGGTTTTACCTTCCAAAGGCTGTTTTTCACTAGGAAATTCAACGACAAATTATATGCAGCTCTCTGTAAAGTGAGATTTGAATCAGACTTCTAGGTTCACTGCTCAGTCTTAGCCATTATCCAATACTGGCTTTTGTGAATTATGACACTGGCCCTCTCGGAATACAGCCATGCCTTTTTAAATGGGCAAGAGAAGTTACTCAAAGGGGCCACTATGGACATACAAAGTTTCCTACAGGAACATAATCTCTATGTCATAAACAGTGTGCACATGAGCATTTCTTCCATGGGTAACTCACAGACTGGGCAGACTGGCAGACAGGTGTAACATGAAGTGGCCCTAAGCTTTAGAATGAAGGGCTCCAGAATTACATGATTATCAACCAATGTCAAGAAGAGAAGACCCAGAGATAAGTTAGCAGGAGAGAAAATCTGCCCTTTGGTACTGGGAATTCCTTTCTTTTTAGACATTTACTAAGGACTTACTAGACAAAATGTGATTAGCTATTCAGACATCTTAAATCACTCATTAGAACACATTAAGCTGTTGGACCATTGCTCCAACCAGCTCAGTGTTGTCTACTCAGGCTGGCAGTAGCACTCCTCAAAGAGGCAGAGATCTTCTCCAACATCTACTAACTGAGATCTCTTTAAACAGTTACTAAGGATTTAATTAGACAAGATGTAGGAGGCCTTTGAATGGCTATTCAGGCATCTCTAATCACTAATTAGAACATATTAAGCTCTTCAATCAGTGCTTCAGCCAGCTCAGTTGTCTACTCTGACTGGCAACAGCTGTCATCAAAGAGGTCTTCCCCAACATCTAGAAGAAGAAGAGATTGGATTTATACCCCACCCTTCACTACCCAAAGGTGTCTCAGAGCGGCTTACAAACTCCTTTCCCTTCCCCACAACAGACACCCTGTGAGGTAGGCGGGGCTGAGAGAGCTCTTGACAGAAACTGCTCTTTTTCAAGAACAGCTCTTATCAGAACTAGGCTTGCCCAAGGTCATCCAGCCAGGTGCAAGTGGAGGAGTGGGGAATCAAACCCGGGTTTCCCAGATTAGAGTCCGCGCACTTAACCACTACACCAAACTGGCTCTACTAACTGAGATCCTTTAACTATAGGCACCAAGGGGTTGATCCTGGAACCTTCTGCATACAAAGCAGACACTCCACTGTCTTGTCAAGTTAAGGACTAAGAAATCCCATTCTAGATGTTGCTTGATTTTTGTGTCTCTTTCAACTTGTGATATTGCAATATTGCTTTGAAGAATGATAAACACATACCTGGCAGGTACAGACTCCATTCCCAGTAATGCCCTGAGAGCAATGTCCTCTGTTATTGCAGGGAGATGCTGCCCCACCTGGACATTCTGCAAGTGAGCAATCAACAGAGCTAAGTTTTATGGTAAGGCTGTGAGCTTGGATGTGTCTTCTCAGACAGGCACCTCTGAATGTAGATGTATGTGGAAACCATGGCTTCCAGCTAACCAGAAAAGTACTGGTTTTTCAATTTTCCTTACTTAGGCCAATAGCCAGAGAAGCATAGTGCAAGACCTTACCTTTCCCTAAGGCATTTTAAGAAAAGCTTTGAAACTAGGGCTTCAAAGATATCCTATTATGTCCACTTGCTGCAAAAGCACTCCTTCCATAAAACAGTTGGCAACAACGCTACCAATCAAGAGCTAGAGTTGAACCCAGAAGTTTTCCTTGCTGCTATTGGCTGGGGTGAAGGAATCCCTATTGGCTGAGCTCAAGTTCTTGAATACAAGTTCCTGCCTACATTTTCCCAAGAGTCCCCCTAATTTTACAACAATAAATAAATAAATATGAAATGGGGGGGGGGATACCACTTGTGAAAGCTGCTTTTAGGTAATACATTTTAGGTAATACAAATTCTTAGGTAGGGCAGTGAGCCCTCTTGGCACCAGACAGTCTAGTTAAAACAATACTTTCAGGCCGTGTGCTACGTGAAATTTTTCTCGAAAAGCAGCCATTTGCAAACTGCTGACAACTTCATTCCATTTCCTGGTTGCTTCTTGTTTTCACTGCAATAGAGGGGCAGCCTGTCCTTCGAGTAGGCTTTATCATATTGTTCTACAACTGCATCTTGGCAGACAAAGTGTTTCCTCTTGATCTTCACATGCCAGAACATTCTGGACATGATTGCTCACTCTGACACCAACAAATGGTATACTACTCGTATACCAGAGCAAAGGCTAATTCATGCAACCCCATTTGGGGCATATTGTCCACTGGTGGTACAGTTTTGTCTGTCAGACTGGATTTAACACAGACATGGAAGAAGTGGAGTTTTTAACCATACACACAGATTCAACTTAGCATGCCACACAAACTATCGTCTTGTAATGTCAGTAGATGAATGTTAAATTGGTTTCTGGAGGCACACTGAAGTTCAGATAACTGCTGCACCGTGCTCAGATTTAGTCCAGATGCAGTCTTGCAGACTGAATGGAACATAAGCCTGCAAAGTGACTTTAATGCAGCCTTAACTATATTCCAACGTTTTACAAAGGAAAATAGGGATATGCTTCTAACCAGGGGTGTTATGTTTGTTTGCCTGATTACACTGCTTTCTCACGGCTGCCAGTCCCTGCCTGCTGTCTGCTGCCACTTCCCACTGTTAAAGGCCATGTAGTTAAAAGGGGGAAAGTCCTTTGAGCATTGAGTTGAGGCTTACTACTTGAATGTCACCGTGTGCCTTAGGTGTTTGACCATGAACTTAGCTAATTTTGCAATAAGTTGTGATCACTTATACAGGCCAGGTGCAAGAAGCAAGCAATATATCCAGCGCCAGTTATTTAAGGATGCACCCAACTGCACAGGCACAAAGAGGGAATGAACTGCAATTGCTTCTGTGATTGACAAGTTGGTCAATTTAATGGCCTGGCCCCAAGCAGTGATTGAAACAGGGACAAGTAACCAAAAAACCCTGTCTTTAGTCAGACAGGATAATTGTATAATATTTATAATGTCAAACACATTATAATAGCTTTTATTTCAGATAGGATGCTGCACTGCTTTTTCTTCCTTGTTAATCCACTGATTTTGTCAGGGTTTCAAATCCTGACATTTGTTTGTCTAGAAGAGATGAGAGCAGTTCACTGAAGCTTCTCAGTATGTTAACTCTCATTGCCGGTATTTTCTCAGTCATCTTTTCTAGTGGCATTATTGTTACAAAAAGCCCCTACATTGATGTCAGTGATTTTAAGATTTTTTTTTCATAAGCCTCACCTGTTACTCTTGTTTAAGGAGCAGGCTTTTTTAAAAAATTATTTATTAACATAATTTACAATACCAAAAACATATTAAAAACATAGTTAACACGGTATGCCAAATTTAATCAATTTAATTCTTTTTCATGAAAGAGGTCTACCCTTACACATACTGAGATAACAAGTACAATTTTGGTCACTTCTAATCTGAGTTTACAGATGAAATAGAAAGGTTGTTCGTGAGTACAAAGAGATTTTGAACGTTAGTATGAACTATATAATGCTTATGTAAATATTTCTGGCAATCACGCCACAAACTCTCTACAAAAAGTTCCCTCTGGAAATACAGCACATCAGCAAGATTGTTCCAACCAGTTTAAGTGTTTCCCCAGTACTCCTGACAGTGCTGATGTACATTCCTGAACACGGTATGGATTATACTGGGGAACTTCGGAAAATAAAAAAGGAAGTGCACAGATCCTTTAATGGGGAAAAACACACACAAATAAACTATATACTATAAGAGAACTTTCTTACCTAGACAGTCAGGTCCCCAGTAACCTGGACAACACTGAGGCTGCTGATTCTCCTTCATACATGTATGCTGACATCCCAGGAATGAGAGAACTGAGTCCCCCCTGAACTGACCATAAAACCTAGAAGAAAAATATTCAAGGCTCTGTTAGAGTTTTAAACAGCTTTATATGGAACTAGGAATAAGGCCTGTTGTGGAAATAAATACGAGATCTAGAAAGAGGCTCCGGGAGAGTGCTCTGGCTTTGGGCAAACAGTGTCAATTTGCTGTGGTTACCTCAGCAGGGTATAATGACAGAGTCCACTGTTTACTCCAGAGGAACTGATCTGTGCTACCTGAAGAGCAGTTGTAATTTTGAGTGCTCTCTAGCCCTCACCTGGAGAGTGGCAACAATTGTTACCCAGGCTCCACCCCTCAAATCTCCAGGAATTTCCATACCTAAAGCGGGCAAATTTATCTCCTCCACTCTCAGCAGCCTCTTTCTAGGCAAAATTCTGTCTTTCTCATTAGCGGGGAGCAAAGCAGCTTACTTCATTCTCTTTGGCTTTGCGATCTGTAAGGTAGGTTAGGCAGAAAGTCTGTGGCTGGTCCGAAATCACCCAGGCAGCTTCCATAGGGATGCTCCTG